TAGTAGTGTAATTAATAATTGAATGTGTTGAGAAACGCTGAAACTATAGGTTTACGCGGGGTTGTGGGTCACGTGGGGCACACTTCTAAGCGGCCGGATCGCATACCACTCAGGCGGTATTCGCCCAGCCATGCCACCATCTCTGCCTGGCTAAGCTTTCTTGTTCACTCATCAACCTCACGCCAGAAATGAAGTCAATAATCACAGGCATAGCACGCCTATTCCTGCTTACAACCATCACCGCTGCAACCACTTCTGTGCAGCATAACTACGACCTGGTCGACCCACTCATAGGCTCATACAATGGCGGCAACGTCTTCGCCGGAGCCACTCTGCCCTTCGGCATGGCCAAGTCCGTCGCAGATGTTTCTGGCCAAAATACTGCAGGCTTTAGCTACGACGGGTCCAACGTGACGGGTTTCTCAGCTCTGCATGATTCTGGCACTGGCGGACAACCTAGCATGGGCAACTTTCCATTGTCGGTGCAGTACTGCGACGATGACCAAATTGCCTGCAAATATGGAGCCAAGATCGATCGAGCAGTAGATGTGGTCAATGGAAGTGTTCGAGCGCAGCCTGGATACTTTACGCTGAAGCTTGCCAACGGCATGGTCATGGAAACGACGACGACTGAACATACTGCCCTTTACCGTTTTTCTGCTGCGAGCGACCAGCCTGGTCCTCTGGTTTTGTTAGATCTGACAGATCTGCAAGACAGCAGACAGAATGCTTCTGTCAGCGTTGATCCAGATACTGGCCGTATAACGGGAAATGGAACTTTCCTCCCTAGCTTTGGCGTTGGTTCTTACCAGGCTTATTTCTGCGTCGACTTCCAAGTTGCTGATATCCAGGACACGGGCATTTGGGTCAACGATCGCGCAGGCAGTGAGCAGAAAGAGCTGTTTGTAAATCGTGGGTACAGTTTGTTTTACATCCAGGCTGGTGCTTTCGTTCGCTTCAATGCTCCGCAGAGTGGCAATCTCACAGCTCGAATGGGCTTAAGCTTCATGAGCACAAGGCAGGCATGTGATAATGCAGAAAACGAAGTTCCAGATTTCGATTTCAATCGAGTACGGGAAGCTGCTACAGATGCTTGGAAGTCCAAATTTACTGGCGTTACCATTGAACCTGGAGGTGCGTCTGCGTCGCTTCAGAAGACCTTCTTCACTGGGATTTATCGCACAATGATCTCCCCTCAGAACTATACAGGAGAGAATCCGCTATGGCAGAGTAGTGAACCATACTTCGACAGCTTTTACTGGTACGCATCCTCTTGCCTCGCATTCCTTCTGTTCTGCTGACGCTTTCTAGCATATGGGATTCGTTTCGAACTGCATTCCCTTTCCTCGCTATCTATCAACCAGATGTATTATCACAGCTCACCCGAAGCCTGCTAGACACTTACGTTCATCTTGGCTGGCTTCCAGACTGCCGCATGCAGCTCTGCAAAGGCTACTCCCAAGGTGGGAGCAACGCGGACGTAGTAATTGGAGACGCCTATATCAAGAACATCAGCGGTATCGACTGGAATTTGGCCTACAAAGCAATCGTCAACGATGCTGAGAACGAACCATTTGACTGGGGCGTGAACGGTCGCGGTGGACTCGTCAGCTGGAAACAGTACGGTTACATTCCCTTCCAAGACTACGACTACCTTGGCTTCGGTCCATCTTTTCACAGCGTCAGCCGTACACTAGAATACGCTTACGACGATTTTGCGATTGCCCAAGTCGCTGGTGGTCTTGGTCACGACACTGATTACGAGAAATACTTGCAGCGCAGCGCGAACTGGCAGAATCTTTTCAAAGCAGATCAAGCTTCTTTCTGGCCCAACGGGACAGATACTGGCTTTGTTGGATTCCTCCAACCACGTTTCGCAAACGGGACCTGGCGCTTCCAGGATCCTATGGAGTGCTCTCCTCTCGATTCGAAATTCTGCAGCTATTCCAGTAATCCTCGCGAAACGTTCGAATCTGCTATCTGGGAATATGTGTTCTACGTCCCACAAGATCAAGCGGGACTGATTCGTGCTGTCGGAGGCAAAGACGATTTCGTTCGCAGGCTGGATTACCTCCACGAAACCGGCCTCCTCGACATCGGCAACGAGCCAAGCGAGCTCACTTGCTTCCAGTACCACTATGCTGGCAGACCAGGACTTTCTGCGAAGAGATTACACACCTACATCCCGAGCTCGTTCAATTCTTCCATCAACGGACTGCCTGGAAACGATGACAGTGGGGCGCAAGGTTCTTTTCTCGCGTTCGCGATGTCTGGATTGTTTCCCGTTGCGGGTCAGAACGTCTATTTGATCACCCCGCCGTTTTTTGAAAGTGTTAGTTGGACTTCACCTGTGACGGGGAAGATTGCGACGATTAGGAATGTTAATTTTGACGTGGAGTACGAGAATATTTATATTCAGAGTGCGAAACTTGATGGGGAGGAGTATACAAGAAGTTGGATCGGGCACGAGTTCTTCTTGGAAGGTGGTGTGCTGGAGTTGACGCTGGGTAGTGAGGAAAGTGATTGGGGAACAAGAGAGGAGGATTTACCGCCAAGTGCTTCGAGTGGTGGGCGATGAAGAATGGCCAAAGGCAGGACGTGTCATTCAGCGTTCTATCGAAACCAATAGTCTATTGACTCTCGTTTGCAAAATCGTGCTTTTACTCAAGCGAGGCAGGTAACGCAAATTATCCCACCCAGCGTCTGGCACTCTTGAACATTCTCGTCCAAGGACCAAAATCTCCCCATTCCTTCTTCTCCTCTCGTGGCAAGTAGCTCGCCACTTCCTTCAGAATCGTTCTCTCTGGATGCGGCATCAAAGCCAAGACCCTACCGTCCGGTGTTCTGACGCCTGTGATTCCCAATGGAGATCCGTTCGGGTTGTATGGGTAAGCCTCCGTTGGTCGCAGATAGTTGTCCACATACCGCATCGAAACGAGTCCCTGATCAATCAAATTCTGCGCAGAAGACTCTCCCGATTGCGGGAACGAAGCGCGACCTTCACCATGTGCAGTCACAATAGGCAAGTACGAACCATCCATGCCGTGAAGGAAAACAGAAGGATCCTTGTAATTGTCCGCTTTCTCCGTGACTTGCACCATACAAACACGAGCTTCATACTGTTCGCTCACATTCCGTTCGAACGTTGGCCAATTCTCCGCGCCGGGGATAAGTTCTGTCAAGCGAGAGAGGAATTGACAGCCATTGCAGACTCCCAAGGCGAAAGTATCTTTGCGCTCGAAGAAGTTCTTGAATTCGGCGCGTGTACCTTCGTGGAGGAGAACGGATTTCGCCCAGCCTTGGCCGGCACCGAGGACGTCGCCGTAGCTGAAACCACCGCAGGCAGCGAGGCCGACGCATGAGGCGAGGGAGAAGCGACCGGTGAGGATGTCGGTCATGTGTACGTCGATGGGGCTGAAACCTGCGACGGAGAAGGCGAAGGCCATTTCTGCTTGGCCGTTGACGCCTTGCTCACGGAGAATGGCGACGCGGGGTTTCTGTTTGATGGTCGCTGCGATGGATGTGGACCAAGGCAGGATGTTCTCTTCGGGCTTGAAGGTGAGCTTGTACTTCAGGCCGGGATTCTTGTTGTCGTCAATGTTGGTCTTTTCGGCGTCGGCACAGTCTGGGTTGTCACGCAGGCGCTGCATCGCCCAAGAAGTGTGGTGCCACTTCTGTTGTAGCTCTGATCTTGAAGCTCGATAAATGCAATCTGCTCCGTAGTGGATGGCGAGCTCTTGTCGGGAAGACTTGGGGACAGAGGCAATGGTGATGGGTGTCATGGGCGCGAACACGCCACGGAACTGACTCTCATCCTTCTTGCGGATCTGGAATACCGCGCCCAATTCCTCGTTGAAGAGTGTCTCGATTACATCTTGCGGCCTTCCCGATTTGACGATGCGGTCGAGCATGAGATCCAAACCGCAGCGGCCCGCGAACATCATTTCCGCAAGCGTTGTGAACAGACCACCATCTGAGCGATCGTGGTAGGCAAGCACGATGTCGGTCTCGTGCAGTTGCTCGACGGCATGGTAGAAGTCCTTGATATAGTCCACATCGTGAACATCTGGAGCAGTGTTGCCAATTTGACCAAAGACCTGTGCAAGAGCGGAGCCACCAAGTGCCTTCTTGCCCCCAGCCAGGTCGACAAACATCAGAAGAGTCTCGCCAACGTCTTCGTAGCGTGCCAGTGTTGGGGTCCATGTGCTGCTCAGGTCGTTCACTGGCGCAAAGGCCGTGACCACCAGCGAAAGTGGTGCAGTAACTTCTTTGTCCTCCCACTTCGTCTTCATCGACATGGAGTCCTTGCCGACAGGGATGCTGATACCGAGCTCAGGGCACAGCTCCATACCAATAGCCTCAACAGCCTCGTACAAGGCAGCGCCTTCACCTGGATGACTACTAGCTGCCATCCAGTTGGCTGAAAGGCGAATGCGCTTCAGTCTGTTGGGGATGCTTGCAGCTGCGATGTTGAGCAGAGACTCTGCCACTGCCATGCGTGCAGATGCGGCCGCCGAGATCAATGCAAGAGTAGGCTTCTCGCCCATGGCCATGGCCTCACCAGTGGTGATGCCTGGGGTGAGAGATGTTGCTGTGACAGACACATCAGCAACTGGTGTTTGCCACGGCCCAACCATCTGGTCCCGAACAGTCAATCCACCAACTGTTCGATCTCCAATCGTGATGAGGAAGGATTTTGACCCAACAGATGGTAGTGCCAAGACGCGGTCGACAGCATATGGCAGGACATCTTGCGCCTTTGTTGGCGATGTAGGAATATACGATGAGAGACTGCTGTCGAACGCAGGGAGTTTGAGCTTGCGTGAGTCGACAACCCTCGACATCTTGGGCGGCTTTCCGAACAGTGTCGACATTGGCAGATCGATAGGTAGAGGCTCCTCTTTGGAGTCTCGATCCATCAAGATCAGTCGTTGCTCTTTGGTAGCTTGTCCGACCACAGAGTATCCGCATCGTTCGCGCTTGCAGATCTTTCTGAATGCCTCAAGTTTGTTAGGTGCGATGGCCATGACATATCGTTCTTGGGCTTCGCAGCACCAGATCTGCAGAGGGCTCAAACTCGGGTCGGCGTTGTCAACTTCTCTCAACTCGAATTTAGCACCATAGCCGGAGTCATGGGCCAGCTCTGGCAGCGCGTTGGACAAGCCACCAGCACCGACATCGTGAATGAATTGGATTGGGCTCTCCGATCCGAGCGAGGCACATGTGTTGATGACTTCTTGAGCTCGCCTCTCCACTTCAGCATTTCCACGCTGCACACTTGCAAAATCCAGATCAACGCTGCCTTCTCCGGACTGTATGCTGGAGGCCGCACCACCACCAAGTCCGATGAGCATGGCCGGGCCACCAAGTACGACCATATGTGCACCAGGGCTGACATCTTCTTTCCTCTTGATCTCGTTTCCTGGTCGCACTGTTCCGACACCACCTGCGATCATAATAGGCTTATGATAACCGCGCACCTCGGTTGTGTTCTCGTCCACAGGCACCTTCATAGACAGAGTACGGAAGTATCCAGTCGTGCTCGGCCGGCCGAACTCATTGTTGAAAGCTGCACTTCCAATGGGAGCCTCGAGCATAATATCGAGACTGCTTGCTAAATGTCCTGGCTTGCCGATGTCAAGCTCCCATGGCTGCCCATGACCAGGAATGTGCAAATCTGAAACGCTGAAGCCGGTCAGACCAGTCTTTGGCTTCGAGCCTCTACCGACTGCGCCCTCGTCTCTGATTTCGCCTCCAGAGCCAGTAGCAGCTCCCGGGTAGGGAGACACAGCTGTCGGATGGTTGTGAGTCTCCACTTTGCCCAGGTAATGGACATCTTCTTTGGTCTGCTTCCACTCTCCGGTCAGCTGATCCGGGGCCCATTGACTGCCCGGATATCCTTGCATGACAGCAGCGTTGTCGCTATATGCCGACAGGACGAAATCTGGGTTGACTCTGTGGGTGTTGCGGATCATCTGGAACAGACTGTGGTCCATGACCTTGCCATCGATAGTCCATTGAGCATTGAATTGCTTATGCCGACAATGCTCGGAGTTCACCTGAGCAAACATGAACAACTCGACGTCTGTTGGATTTCGCTGCAAGTCCTTGGTGTAGGCATCGATCAGATAGTTGATCTCAGACTCATCTAGAGCAAGGCCGAGCGTCTTGTTGGCCTCGCGGAGTGCAGCCTCGGGCCCTGCGGAATTGTGCAACAAGTCGACCCTTGTCAGCGGAGCAGGAGCAGCTTGAGCAAACATCGCGTCGAGGTCGGGTGGATGCGTTGCGAGGTTGTCAGTCATGCGATCGTGCAATGAGTCTGGGCTGGGAATAGAGCCATCCTCCGGAGCCTGCTCGAATTTGGCAGCATAGAGAATGCCACGTTCCACTCTCTTGACAGCGGTTTCAATACCGCAGACGTGAGCGATGTTTGTTGCTTTCGAGCTCCATGGCGAGATAGTGCCTGCTCTTGGACTCACGTAAAAGAGCTTGATGTTGGCATCGGCGGGTGACTTGCCGTGATTGACCGCTCCTTGAAGTGCATCATACAGCTCTCCTTGCTCTGGATAGCTGTCGTACTCGAGCAACTGCTGCAAAACTTGGTGCTCTTCATTTGTCAGAGTCCTGTGAGAGGAGATATAGTGCACCCATATCGCCTGCAGATCCTTGGCACCGATTTGTGAAATGAGCCTGTCGCGGCGAAATTTTGACAGCGCGGACGCACCAGGCAGGGCGAGATATGCGCCGTCGGATTGTGTTGTAGTCATGGTGGATGGGCACAACTGCCAGCGGCAGTTTCTGAGAGTTGGTCTACATTGTCATCATTTCGAACGAGCGAGCCAGAGCGAGTCAACTTTTTTGAAGCGCTCGGAGCGCGGCACGATCCGCGAAAACTCACTTATGAAACATGTGACTCTGACCTTACAAAATAAGTAAAGTAAGGAATAATCGATACATCGGCATACTGCAGTCCACGAAATCTCTGTTCGTCTAGGGTGTTCAAAGACTATGCCGCGGCTTCTTTGCAAACTCGTAAACGCCGTGAAGTAAGAACGCTTCATTCCATCTCGACCCGATGAGAACTCCTGATATACCACCTCCTGGTTCTTCTTGTCCGTGTGCCCTAGTCGTCAAGTCGCCCCGCTACCCTTTGCACTATTACTTCTCGATCTGCCACTGCTTGTGGCACTGGCTTTGGAAGGTGCCGAAGAGCTCGCCGAGCGGTGAATCTTGCTGCCGTGTAAACCTCGCTTCTAAAACACATGCCGAACCCGATCAGAACAACCGTCGAGCTGCGAAGAGCGCCACAGTGGTGAAACGCCAAGCGCTATGCAAAAAGGGTGTGAAGGGAAAGGTCGCAGAATGGAAATGGAGAAAGCAACAGAACGGTGCAGTAAATATGCTAGGGATGAGGCAAAGGCGGGCACACGCTCGAGCTTCTCATCCACGTACCGAGTTGGTATGCCTCTCAGCTCTCCTGTCGTCCTGTAAGCGCAAGCGCTCCATTGAGATCGGATCTCCGTCCTCGGTGCGCGTAGAACTTTGCTGATTGCCATACGCTTGGGGAGGTCGTACCGCCGGGGCATGTCCATTCTGTTTCATGGACTCTGCAAGTTGCGTCAAACGATCCCATTTGGCCTGTCGGCTAGCCTTCACAGCCTCCGCGTTGTTCTGCTGCTCTGTGTATTCGTGCGAGCATTCATCGAAAAGCTGTGGATTGACTTCCATGAACAACTTCATTGCGTTGTATACCATGCCGTGTATTGTACTATGCGTGTCATTAGTAACGTCTCGACTTGACGATTATGACATGAACGTACCGGTTCCAGTGGCCCTTGGAATTCTCGTACAAGGGCGCGAACATAATGGGAAGGATGACATCCACATTGTCGCTGACAAGGTTGCAGAAATATTCGTTGTTCCAGAAGTAAAGAGCGCGTTCAGCGACCTGTTCCACTGTTAGACATGCGGTGCGGTGCGTAAGACGGCGACTTACCTGAAAGTGTGGGCTTGCAACGCTCTTCGCGAGCTGGTTAAAGAGGGGCTCCTGCACTTTCGCAAACTCGGCAGGGTCCATAACCTCGAAGATGTCCTCCACTTCGTTCAAGAACATGACCTCTTTCGTGCTGTTGACCTTGGGCCAGTAGCGTAGTAGACCGAGCACAACCTCTTCGGTGAGAGCGGCATCCTTCTCCAAGAATTGCACGATGCAGTAAGCAAGCTGGGGATGATACATGCTTAAGCTTTTGACTTTGTGCAGAGGGATCAAAACCCTGGTCAAGAAGAGCTTGTGCTCTTCCTTCAGTGGCAGAGCGAAGCCATTGATGATCGAGCCCAAGATCTCCAGGAGCTCGGCAATTCCATTAAATCGCTCAGTCTCGTAAATAAACTGGAAGAAGACGTTGTTGATGCTGCGTCTGATGAAGGAGCGCAAGTTGAGGAATTTGCCATATATCCTGTGCAACGTGGTCTTCAAGAAGTCGCGCTCGCGTGGATCCTCTGAATCAAAGAGCTCGAGGAGTTGCAACACAAAGCTGTGATCGATGTACTGCTTCGCATAGTTTGTGTTGAAGTCCTGGCTCTCAATGAAGCGCAAGAAGAACTCGTAGACAACCTGGATGTGTGGCCAGGCGACTTCGAGCACTGGCTCATCCTCTTCCGGGTCGAACGCTTCGCCTTGCGGGTTCATAGGCGGGGGAATTGGTCTGAACAAGTTCTTCGCAAACATTTCCACGACCCTCGGGTACATGGGCTCCGAAATGACTTGGCGATTCTGCGCGACGTAGTCCAAGAGCTCGTGTAGCGCCAGCCGCTTGATCTCTTTACTTTTCATGTCGCCCGAGGCATCATTGAAATCGAAGATGATGTTACATTGATCCAACTTTTGCATGAACAGTTCCTGTCTGCGATTTGGCGGGACCTCGTGGAAGCCAGGTAGCTTCTCAAGCTCGCGTTGCCTTTGGTCTGAGATGTCGAATCGTGAGGAATGCTGACGTTTGGGTGTCCTAATTCCCTCTGGGACTGTGTCTTTCGGCGTGGCCTGTAATCTATCGAAGAGAAGACTCTTTTGTCCAGCTTTGGGCGGGGCGAGGTCGTGCGGCATCGTTTCGGCGGCGCCTGGCGGAGGAACGTGCTACGTCTGTCAGCCTCCATCATGATATGAGAGATGATCGCACACAAAGGAACACGCACTGGAGCGCTTGGAGATATTACCACACTAGGAGCAAGCTGGCCAAGTCGTCCCGGAGTTGATGGACCGCCCTGCTGATGCGGTCCACTATTCGAGGGGTTCGCATTGGCAGTGCCGTGCTGTGAGAATTGGCCCTGGTTGGAGGCTACGTTCGATGCAGGCTGGCCTGGCATTGGCGCGCCTGGGTGTGACTGAGTGGGCGCATCGGACTGCGGCTTGTTTCGACCGTCCACCAGGTTGCTGGTCGAGGAGGTCGGCGTCGCTTGAGCTGAGCCCGCGGGCGACTGGCTATTGGAAGGGCCGCCAGCAGGGGACTGGGTGCCAGAAGTATTGTCTTTGGAGCCCTTCTTCGCGAGCTTGTTGCCCTCTCGGTCTTTCGCCCGCGAGAGCTGTTCTTGCTGTCAGATCACCACATTACTGTCTGCCTCGCACGCGCAGTGTCTCAAAACGGGTGGACTGGAGCTTACCACGCGCTGTCTGAAGCCCTTCATCATCTGTTGCGCCCAGTGGGACGACGATCACCGGCTCGCCAATGCTGCTGGAGGGAGAGAGGGAAAGGGTCCGGCCCTGCGGACGGCCTCCTGGTGCTCGTCAGGCGTCGTCGTCTGGAGGCGGCGGAGCGGAAGCGACACGTGACTCGAGGGAATGGGTGATGTCGGTGCGCGCGGGCGTTGGTCTAAGGAGCGGTGATGGTGGGCGGCGTCGTCGATGTGTACAATTGACGCGCTGATGTCGACGTGAGCTTCGGCTTGGCCAAGGAGCAAGCCAAGGACGTGCAGTGGTGTTTGGGTCGACAGGGGAGGGCGGGAGAGGGCAGTGGCAGCGGGGGAGTCGGCGACGTGCACAAGACAAGGACGGCGAGGTCGCGAGAGAGAGCGTGCAGTCGGTCGGTCAAGTGTGTCGTAGGAGGAGGCTGATCGACGACGGGGAGGGCATAATTGCGCGCTGATTCGTGCACGGCTCCAGCGCAGTAGCAGATGGGCCAAATAGTTGGAGGGAGAGCTCGTCAACACGCACACGCCTGCGCCCCTCCAGCTTCTTTCCGTTTCACCCTCCCACCTCATCTTGACACAACACAACACCACCACACTGCACCCACGTGACATCGCTTCCGCCATCGACCATCTCACCTCATTTCATCGAGGCTGCCGTCGCCTCCTCGATGCGATGCGAACATGGAACAAAATGGTGCTGAAAGTAGCGATGCGCCAAGCCGCGCAGTCGCGCCCATATATCATGTACCTCCTCAGCGCATCGTAGCCGTAGAACACCCATGCATCGTGCACAATTTCGACAAAGGCTTCAAGTCGCTCGGCGGAGAGGCGCAGCTCAAGCATGTGAGTGTAGTCGAGAGCCTCGCCGCACGGTAAGTCCATGTCTCACATACAGCACAGGTCCTCGAGCATCATGTGGGCGACTCGAAACTGAGCAACAAGCAAAATGAACTCCCAGAACCCACGGCCGGTGTTTCGCTGCGGCCAGGCGATCCATTCGCGAAGAAGCTGACCTCTTCCGGCATCTCGACGAGGAATGTGCTCGTCAAGGTCACGCTTCCAAAGAGAACTGGACGCAAGCGCAAGCGTGGCTCAAATGCGCCTTTCACAGACTCGGGCCGGTCTACGACCGACTCCACGAGCATCACCGCGCCTCAACTGCTCAGTAGATTGCGCGACAACAAGGGCAAGTATCGTATTGAAGCCGTAGGCATGCTTCGCGAGACACACCGGTTCCGCACGCTACCAGACTTCCAAATGCGCAGTGCAGGCCTGCCAGTCATGCAAGAATTGAGAGAGCATGTTCTGACGCCTGACTACGATCGTCTGACCAGGTTCAGCGTAGACCTCTCGCCATTCGCATATCGAGGGGAGTATCCTGGGCCGCCCAATTTCACCAGCTACGATATGCCTCACAAGTACGAGTACCACCAGGCTGCAGGTGTCATATTCGTGCAGGATGACGATGGCCAGATCAAGTCCAGGAACATTGCGGCACCGGTGAAGCGAGTCACTTGGGGCCTGCCGCCAGACATTGATGAGGTTCCTCAAGGTCCCCCACTCGAATTGCCGAGAAAAAGTCCTGGCGGCGAGATGCTGCCTCGCACTGTCGCAGCATTGCAGAAGATACTGGACGAGGATCGTCCCTTGGTCACAAAACGCGTTGCTCTCAACTCGATGCCACCAATCAGTGAAAGCATCTTCAAGGAAGCCACGCAGTATGTGGGCTACAGCTTCAAAGCCGGACCATGGCGTGACAGTCTCATCAAATACGGAGTGGACCCTCGGAAGGACCCCAAATACCGCCACTACCAGACGCTCATGTTCCAAGTCGATGCGCACGCCTTCAAAGACTCTACTGCCAGCGAACGTCCGTCATGGAAGCAAAACGAGACGAACACCACATGGGCTAGACCCCTGCGGCATACGAAGGACGCACCATCGACACACGTCTTCGATGGAAAGAACATTACAGCGAACGGCAAGACATGGCAGACAATCGATGTCGTTGATCCTGTAGTATACAAGCTTCTCCAGACTGAAGACCTGCCGACCGAATGTGACGTCTACCAATGGGGCTGGTACCACAACGGCACCATGGCCAAAGTTCGCACAATCATGAAAGACAAGATGAGATATCTGTTCGCGAAACAAGAACCACCACACGCAGACTATGAAGTCATTGCGCGGTTGCCCGACAAGCTCACCAAGGAGAATATTAAAGATGCTGTATTGAGTCCTCGAGAATACAACAACCACTGCATGCTCATGGCGACAGAAGTGAGGAACATTGTCAAATCTGGCGATGGCCAGTGCGCCCGAAGTGCAAAGAATATGTGGGAACGTAGAGCGAAAGGTCTGAGTGCAGACAACGAAGACAAGGACGAGAGTGATGGTGACAATGATCCCAACGAAGACCTTCGAAATATCGACATCGGTAATAGTGGCGAAGGCGACTTCGAGGAAGACTTTCAGATCGATCCAGCTTTACAAGCAGAAGATTCTCGCGGCGGGAAGCGCAAGCAAAAAACATAGAAAGGTGATGCAGTTCTCGGACCCTGTATTCATCATCGGACCCCAACTTTTGGAGTCGTTCCTTGGCACTACAAACTACGATTATACTGTGTAGGCGCGGTATATAAGAGTAGTCGCTTGCTGCAGAAACGGTCTGCAGTACAGTCCGAGACCTCACCCTACATACCAATAACCAGAACAAAATCGACCCAGAAGCAACCAAAGATGGCACACCTCCAATACTACAACTACCCAGGCTACGGAGAGCGAGCAGTAGAAACCTACAAATACAGCCAAGCAGTCCGTGTAGGTGATCGGATCGAATGCTCTGGTCAAGGTCAGTCCCACCTGTACTCATTCCACACCATCTCCTAGTTGCTGAAGCATTAACACTCTCGCCCAGGCGGCTGGAACCCCGAAAACGACATCTTCTACAAAGAAACCAACGCTCAAATCGATCAAGCTTTTGCAAACGTCGATCTTGCATTGAAAACCGCTGGCGGCAAAGGCTGGAGTCAAGTCTTTCGGGTGAATAGTTATCATATTCCGTTGAATGGTGAAGCGATGGAAGCTATGAAGCGGAATTTTGAGAAGTGGATGCCGGGGCATCAGCCCTGTAAGTTCACCTTGTGATAATTGTCTTGCGGGGTTTGTGTTTGGTGATGGTGCTGACTGGGATAAGTGTGGACTGTCATTGGAGTGAGCCGACTTGGAATGGATGATATGAGGGTTGAGATTGAGGTTGTGGCTCATGATCCGGAGGGGGCGAAGGCTGCAGGGACGGTTTAGGGGTGGGAGTTGATGAAGGATTAGGTGAGTGTAGCTGCTTGGGAGAGTTGAAGACAAGATCGCCGAATTGCAGCCAACTACGACATGGCTAGATTCATCAATTTGAGAGTCCACAGCAATGGTGACAGTTTGATGAGAACTGCTGGCTGTTGTCGGTGTTGCTTTCGTTTACATGCAAGAGTAAACTGACCTGTCTCAGGGCACTCTTTTCCAAGCCAGTACGAACACAGAAAAAAAACAAGGCCCTGGTGTGCTGTCTTTCCATGCACATGGGATAGGCCTCTCGAAGTAAGGCGGCTTCTTCGTCGCCGCAAGCTACTCGTCGAATCGTATTGTCGTTCCATGCCAACAGTAAGCTCGAAGTCCAGGGAGCGCGGTTACAGCTCCCATCATGTATTCGCGGAACACAAGGGTAGGGGCTCAAGACTGACTAAAGAAAATATTAGTTATTTTGGCTCTATAGCGACTCAATGGACGACGTCTCTGGGGCTGTTCGGGGTTTCCCTCGTAATCGAGGTCGGACGATGAGGCGAAAAGTGCTCTAGATCGTCTGCTAAGAAGGAAACAAATTGCCCCAAGAATCGACATGTTCCATGCGAGTCGTTCCACGTGTGCATGACAGACTGTACAGTGACAAAGCAGAAGAGCGTATAAAGCGTTGCCTCTGCCTGTCAGACACCCTTTCAGGTCGTCAGCTTTGGTCGTAAGATCTCAACTACCCAAAAAGTCCTTTCTAGAAAATGAGAGCCTTCCTCTTCCTTCTACTCCTCTCCCTTGCTCATTGCTGCCTCGCAGGTACACTGTGAGAGATAAATTACCTTGCATCAATCCGATGTATTGGGAAACTGACATAGCCTAGCAAGAGGTCGACACCATGTACATCCGACAGCTGCAAAGATTGCCAGCATGATTGTCAAACGGACTTCACGTACTGTGTTGATAATACACCTCCAGTAAGTATTCTTCTTGAACGCGTCAACTTCGTGAGCTAAACACTCGTCGTAGCTGGCAGGCACCGCAGTCTGCGCTGTTATACTCACGACCTGCCGGAAAAGCTGCCCGACTCCATAGATTCTTTTGCGGACCATGTCAGTTTTCATGGGCTGTAGATGTGTTCTGGGGCTGGATTTGGGCCACCCCTGTGTACAATAGCATGGACGTCACGACTTTCGATTCGACACGATTTGCTGCGTTTGAATGGGATATAATGAACGTGGTGTCGTCCGGCTCTAAGTGGTTCCTCCCTGATCGAACCAGCTCAGCGGGACGACGTCTCGGCAAGTGAGGGTTCGGAGGCCACTTGTGATAGATCAGTTGCATTCGGCTCTTGGGTAAAAGTATCCATTGAGATTGAGGTTGTTGCTTATGATCCGGAGGGCGAGGGCTGCGGTGACTGTTTGGGGCGGAAGTTGATGAACACCGCACGCCTATGCCCGTAGACCAGGTGAGTATAGCGATGTATATGGAAGAGCAGACAACAGAATCGCCAAACAGCAGCCAGCTACAGCAATAACAAGCTGTCTCACAAATTGACAGCCAGTGACACCTATCGTCGGCGAATGTTGTTGTGAGCAGCGAATATTCGGCGGGCTGATCAACCATAGGTGAGGTCTCGTTAAGGTATGTGTCTTCGTAGATGATGTGGTAACGACTCCTCGCTGCTGTCGGTATTGTTCTCGTTCACATGCAAGACGCCGATTGACATCTTTGCATGCTAAGCCCAAAAGGGCAGAGTGTTGTCGAGGATTGGCACTCCTGTTCAAGCCAGTGCGAACGCACATTGAACACATGCCCTGGCTCTCCACGCGCATGGGATGGTTCGTTCGGCGCCTGAGAGCCGACTGACAGCCTCGGACCTTGAGCGTGCAAAAGTCAAGGCTCCATTGTGCAAGCCACCCTGTAGCACAGTAGCGACATGATTGCACTTGCTTGTAGACTGTAGTTGTTGTTCGTGGAAGAGTGTTCGTGATGAGTGGCCTATGCCTTCCTTGAAACGACGCTCCTGCTTCGTGTCGATCTTGCCGCGATCCGGTTGGCCGCGAGCTAGCGAGATGTGGCTTCCAGGGTTTCTAGATCGTCGTCATCTCCATCACAAGCAACAATTTGCAACATCGTGAAAGACAACTCCACGTGCGACAAGCTGGCCTCCTCGTCAAGTCGTGCTGCTGCAGTACTATACCACCGGAATGCAACATCTTCTCACGAGCTGACCTGACACAATCTTCGGCCACGTTACTCAGCATCAGAAGCCGTATTTCCCAGCGTGGCGTCCGTGAGATTGCCGCTCACCATCCTACTCGTGGCAACGATTCACGGCCTCGCCCCGCGGCAGACGTTCCGAACGGCTTGTGCAAGAGGTCCTGGCAAGCTGGCGAAAAGCTGGAGCTCGCCCTGTCTGCCGTGTACTCTGGCAGGTACACTACTGTATAACTCCGAAGTCGCGTGTGCCATTGCGAGCCCAACAGGTTAAGCACCTTCGGCGAGATCAGGAAATATCTGCTGCGGGTGGGTCGGGCTATGCATGCGATTGTTATCAAAGCACGTGTCAGCGAGGTTGGGAGACGGCTATGATGAAAAACATCGCCTTCACATGCTTCCTTCACTAGGAGGTACGACTTTTAATTGGACAAAAACAAAGCTCGGTGCCGCTACTAGGCAGGGATACCTTTCCGTTATTCGCATGTGACCGTGATCTCACAGGACCCGTCCGAGCGTTTCCCACACTTGCGATTCATCTTGGGCGTGAGTAACGTCTACAATCACTTCACCTCGCGGTGCATTTTTCTGTCCATGTCTGCGACGGCATTGACACACGACTCCCGGACACTCTACGTCGATACGAGCTGACAGCGCCCTATGCGCCATCATGGAGGCCCTCAAAGACAGACCGCCGAGCGTGCTCTCACGGTCGCCAGAGAGCGTCGAATGGCCCGCCGTACCGAGACACGAGATTCGATCACCCAGCGATGTCCGACTACCAGACCTCAAAACAGTGCTGTCGCCGGAGTTTGAGCACATGTCTGCGCCGCGACACAGTGCGCATCCACAATCACCGCAGTCAGTGCGAAGCCTGCCGCGCATCGATCCTGGTCGCAACTCGCTTGGCGAGCGAGGAACAGACGTCTCCATGACAAGTCCAGTGGGCACTTCAAGCGTAATGAGCATGGACGACAGAAATGGGCGTGCGACAAGTGTGGTGTCGATGGAAGATCCAGATGTCCGCGACGCGGCTGAAGCATTGTCAGGGTTGGGTAATCCAGGTGGGTATTCACTGCACACACATTTGAACGCTTCTTCAGTCAAATGGCCACATACTGACAATGGACTAGAATACAGTCGTGGCTCGAGAGGCCAAAGCAGGCACGTGTCTAACGCTAGCTCGAATGGCATTGGACACCCCGAATATAGGGAAGACCCCGAGCCTATTCTGGAGCTCATAGCGCAGGCCCACCCTTGGGTCGGTGGAGCCGTGAAGACCTCTCTGGCAGCATACTCGACAACAAAGGGCTTCACTCCACGCATTGTTCAGGGTGCTGCCAACTTAATGGAACGGAACACTATCAATGTTGCGAGTTCGGTTGGTGGAATTACTGGTATCGATGCTGGCGTTCGACGTTATTTGGAATCCCGCAGGCCAGGAGATGTTGCGAATGTGTCTGCGGCAAAGCAAGACGTAGCCCTAGCGAACGGTGACATCGAAAGGCCGCCTCGCCCGGAGGCTCAACTGCCACCTTACACAACGAGCAGACCCCCTTCGTATCGCGAGGAGGCAAGCCCAATGCGTCCGCCCCATACGCGGAGCTGGAGTTCACAGTTCTGGGTGACCACCGGAGGTTTATCCGTGGCGCTCAGCTACACGTCACGCAACAGTCTTAGGATTTGCCTGACATTGCTCCGAGACGCAGCTTCTGGTGTGCAACAACTCAGCAGAGCACTCCAGATTTGCCTCGAGAAGTACGAAAGCACTCGTGCGCAGCAGGATGCAAACGACGGTGCCATTCTCGAAAAGGGACAACGCCCTTCCACACCGGAGCAAAATGAACAAGCCCGACACTTGGCTGAGCAAATACAGAGCGTTTGCGATGAGATTATGAAGAAGCTACATGTGGTCGTGCAGTCGGTATCCGCCTATACTGGTGGAGTGCTTCCCGAAAACGCGAAAGAATTTGTCCGCCGACAGCTCATGTCGCTTCCAGAACGCTGGCAGATTGTGTCGAGGCAGCAAGCAGTTGCTTCAGAGACCAGTCGAAACGCAAGACGCATGATTGACTTCGCTGGCGAGGGTCTGGAAGTCATGAGCCAAGTCAGCGGTGTCCTAAAAGCGACATTGGACTCTGCAGAGCAATGGCTGATGCGCGTTGGCAGAAGCGACAATGTCGACCAGGATCAGGAAATGGGCGAGGCTCCACACGCATCTCAACGCTCAGACATGGAAAAGTCTTGAGAGCTGCAGGAGAGAAAACGTTTCGGCCGGAGCAGACATTTAACTCCGGACCTCGAGTGGTACGGGACACTTAATCGCCGCTGAATCATCCTGACACGTGCGAATGGCCCCTTCACTCGCGCTCCGCGATACAGTAGCTCTCCACTAACGAAAGCTTGGATGTGTGGCATATGGGGATGCACGATGCATACCACTCTTGCTTACAAATGCAGGGAAGAGGTGCATTCACTGGCAACGCCTTTGATTGTTGCTTATACCACGATCTGCAGTCACGCCGAAGTATAGCAGCGCTGGCAGTGTGATGGATGCCTAGCATAGTCACAGTAGTGACAATACATACCACCTGCGAGGTCTGCACAAGATCACAGCAGGTTTGCAAGGCATCAAAGGCCGGCTTGGCATCTCTGCAGGCAAGGACAGGGAAGTCCGCCTATCTGGTCTGGATACGCGTATTTCTGTGACACGGCGCACAGAGTGTGGCGTTGGGCAGTGCAGCGCGGTTCGAGCCACGAAGCAATCACATAATGATACCCGGGTGGGGAAAGGATTGATAGTAGAAATTCAACCATGTTATGTATGCATAATCATAGCACAAAGTGGACAATGCATCGCCAGATCGTACTCGAACCCTATGGCATAGAACCTGGTGACCATTGTTCGGTATCGACGTGTCACTACCCAATCCCACCGCGGAGAGCTGCCATCGAAGCATCGGGCAAGAAAAACAACTTTCGGTCCCGTACGAGCCAGCGAGACTCTCCGCCCCGTGCTCTTCAACGTTCGATATTATTTCTCGAAGATGCGACCAAGCGACGGGTACTGACAGGGAGCCGCTCCTCTAGTCGAGGATAGGCCGAAGAACGCGACTCAGGCCAGAGATCGGTGGAGGTCGAGTTGCTGCTTTGAGGCAAGACGACGGCCGACGGCTTCGGCATTTCGCAAAGCCCTAGTTAGCATCCGGCGCGGCGGCGGCGCTGGCAGCTCCTCGCGAGCTTCTCAGCCTTCGCGCAGCAGACGACGAGATGGCGCCTTGCAGGCTTTGTGCCTCGCGAAAAATGGATGAATCATACAGATCTGCTGGCGCTTGTCCATTTTCTGGACGCCGCCGACTCCACTACACGGGGTGCGGACCTGCGGACCTGCGGTGTGTGGGTATGTTGGTAGTAATCAACCATCTGAAGTGGGTAAACAAATGTCTCGAATCCTTTTTCCACATTCTTTCGCTCTTCGCCTCCGTTGTTCGTTCCCCACTAGTCTCGTTCACTCGGCGTGTGTTTATAAGTTGGAGATGATACCCACCTTTGTTTGGAGATAGCACCACGAGTCTCGCCACAACTGGGCTGACGTCCCTTCCCAAACGCTGTCATTGGAGCGCGTTGCGCTTTCCTTGACCGTAGGGTTGACACGGCTGCTGCCGAACGACACCATGGACTCCGTCGAGCAAAAGCTCCACCTCGATCACCCAGGACAAACACACGGCGGCCATGGCTTCACACAGACAGAAAACGCAGAAAACCCATCGTCGCACATTCAGACCAGCGAGAAAGATCATGAGGCCGGTTTCGCTACCGAAGCCATCGAGACCAGACGCGATATCGACCGGGATACCCTTGCCACCCAGAGAGACACGTCCGAGGAAGAAGAACGCCGAGAGTCGGTCGAGAGACCGGTAGCGTATGGCGTTGATGTACAACGCGCCCACAGCGATTTTGCCGAGCTCCAACGCGAGTTGAGTAGCACGAGCCGCATATCGAAGAGTCGATTGTCGCGTACACAAAGCAGAAGGAGCGAGAAGAATGGCGCAAAAGATCTGGAGAAGGCTGTGTCGCCATCGACTACAGAAGAGGAGCCATTTGATCTGGAAGATACATTGAGAGGCAATAAGCGTCTGGAAGAAGAGAGCGGAATCAAACACAAGGCCATTGGCGTGATCTGGGATGGCCTCACCGTCAAAGGTATGGGCGGTAGCAAGATCTTCGTGCAGACCTTTCCCGATGCCTTTACGGGTTTCTTCTTTTTCCCCATCAAGTACCTTATGGGACTTGCTGGATTGGGAGGCAAAGGCAAGGAAGTCAACATCCTGCAGAATTTCAAGGGCGTGGTCAAGCCGGGCGAAATGGTCCTTGTTCTCGGCAAACCGGGGTCTGGATGTACCTCGTTCCTGAAAGTTATCGCCAATCAACGCTACGGTTACACCGGGATAGATGGTGAAGTTCAGTATGGACCTTTCTCCGCGAAAGAGTTCGAAAAGCGATATCGTGGAGAAGCGGTCTATTGTGAGGAAGATGATGTCCATCATCCGACTCTTACTGTGGGACAGACGCTGGGCTTTGCTTTGGAGACCAAGGTTCCTGGCAAGAGACCTGGTGGTATCAGCGCGGCGCAGTTCAAGGACAAAGTCGTTGATATGCTGTTGCGGATGTTCAACATCGAACACACGAAGAATACGATTGTCGGTAATCCGTTCGTGCGTGGTATCTCAGGAGGAGAACGTAAGCGCGTTTCGATCGCAGAAATGATGATCACCGGTGGTAGCGTTTGCTCGCACGACAACAGTACCAGAGGTCTGGATGCTTCTACTGCTCTGGATTATGCCAAGTCTTTGTGCATCATGACCGACATCTACCACACGACTACTTTCGTCTCGCTCTACCAGGCGTCTGAGAACATTTACTCGCAGTTCGACAAGGTCATGGTTATTGCTGAAGGTCGCCAAGTCTTCTTTGGTCCCGCTAAGGAGGCCAGGTCGTATTTCGAGAGTCTCGGTTTCCTGGAAAAGCCTAGACAGACAACCCCGGACTATTTGACTGGTTGCACAGACGAGTTCGAGCGCGAATATGCCACTGGGCGTAGCGCTTCGAACGTTCCTTCCACCCCTGACGAGCTCGTAGAAGCCTTCGAAAAGTCTAAATACGCTACATTGCGGGACGAAGAGATGGCCGCATGGCGCGCGCGTGTCAAGGAGGAGCAGCATGTCTACGAAGACTTCAAGACCGCCATCCAGCAGGGCAAGCGTCATGCACCTCAGAAATCCGTCTACTCGATTCCGTTCTACTTACAGGTGTGGGCACTCATGAAGCGCCAGTTCATCCTGAAGTGGCAGGATCGATTCTCTCTCGTCGTCTCTTGGATCACATCGATTGTCATCGCCATCGTCATTGGTACTGTCTGGCTTCAGCAACCTAAGAGCAGCGCGGGTGCTTTCACTCGTGGTGGTGTTCTATTCATCGCACTTCTCTTCAACTGTTTCCAGGCTTTTGGTGAACTTGCGGGTGTCATGATGGGTCGAACTATTGTCAACAAACATCGCGCTTACACTTTCCATCGACCTTCTGCGCTCTGGATTGCTCAAATATTGGTGGATGTTGCATTCGCGGCTGCACAGATCATGGTCTTTTCCATCATGGTCTATTTCATGTGTGGCCTGGTGTACGATGCGGGAGCCTTTTTCACCTTCTACTTGATCATCATCACCGGCTACCTGGCGATCACTCTGTTTTTCAGAACAGTTGGTTGTCTGTGTCCTGACTTCGACAGTGCTATCAAGTTTGCGGCTACGATCATCACCTTGTTTGTTCTGACTTCGGGCTATTTGATTCAATACCAAAGTCAGCAAGTCTGGCTCTCTTGGATCTTCTACATCAATGCGCTTGGCTTGGGCTTCTCTGCTATGATGATGAACGAGTTCGAGAGACTCAACTTGGAATGCGACGGCACTTCTTTGATTCCAAATGGTCCAGGATACGGCGATATTGCGCACCAGACTTGCACACTCGCTGGTAGCACCCCAGGATCAGCATCTGTCTCTGGCACGAGCTATATCGAGACTGCCTTCTCGTACTCACCTAAGGACCTGTGGCGTAACTGGGGCATCATTGTCGTTCTCGTCACCGCGTTCTTGATCTCCAACGCCTTCCTTGGTGAATACATCAAGTGGGGAGCTGGAGGCAAGACCATTACATTTTACGCCAAGGAAGACAAGGAGCGCAAGCAGTTGAACGAAGCTCTGGCTGAAAAGCGTAAGAAGCGTAGCCGAAAGGAAGGAGAGGCTGGTGGGTCTGATCTCAAGATCGAATCCAAGGCCGTCCTCACCTGGGAAGAGCTGTGCTATGATGTTCCCGTTCCGTCTGGTCAGCTGCGATTGCTCAAGAACGTCTTCGGCTACGTGAAACCAGGTCAGCTCACTGCCTTGATGGGTGCTTCCGGAGCCGGGAAGACGACTCTGCTCGATGTCCTTGCATCACGAAAGAATATTGGTGTCATCACTGGTGACAAGCTCATTGACGGCAAGCCTCCTGGTACAGCTTTCCAGAGAGGTACCTCTTACGCCGAACAACTCGATGTTCATGAGGGTACTCAGACTGTGCGTGAGGCTCTTCGATTCTCAGCAGTCCTTCGACAACCATACGAGACACCGCAAGAAGAGAAGTATGCATACGTGGAGGAAATCATCGCTTTACTCGAAATGGAGGATATCGCCGATGCCATTATCGGCAGCCCTGAAGCTGGCCTTGCAGTCGAACAACGAAAACGTGTCACTATCGGTGTCGAACTGGCCGCGAAGCCCGAACTGCTTCTCTTCCTTGACGAGCCTGTAAGTTTGACATTTGCATCTACCCACGACCGTTTACTGACATTGCTCTACAGACTTCCGGTCTTGACTCTCAGTCCGCTTTCAACATTGTGCGATTCTTGCGTAAGCTCGCCGGAGCCGGACAGGCCATTCTGTGTACAATCCATCAACCGAATGCATCCCTCTTCGAAAACTTCGACCGTCTCCTGCTTTTACAGCGCGGAGGCGAAACTGTTTACTTCGGCGACATCGGCAAAGACGCAAGTGTTCTGCGAAGCTACTTTCACAAGTATGGAGCTGACTGCCCACCCAACGCCAACCCTGCTGAATGGATGCTGGATGCAATCGGTGCTGGTCAAGCTGCTCGCATCGGCGACAAGGACTGGGGCGAGATCTGGCGCGATTCGGAAGAGCTTGCAGCCACCAAGGAAGAAATCACCCGTATCAAGAAGCAACGTATTGAAGAAGTCGGATCCCAGCCGCCTGTCCATCAAAAGGAATTCGCCACACCGCTCTGGCACCAGATCAAGACCGTGCAGATTCGCACGCACAAGTCTTTCTGGCGTTCCCCTAACTACGGCTTTACACGTCTTTTCAACCACGTCATTATTGCCCTCCTCACTGGTCTCATGTTCTTGCAACTCGACGAATCCCGGACTTCACTGCAATACCGAGTGTTCATTATCTTCCAGGTCACCGTCTTGCCTGCGCTCATTCTGGCACAGGTCGAGCCCAAGTACGATCTCAGTCGCCTGATCTACTATCGCGAAGCCGCCAGTAAGACCTACAAGCAGCTTCCGTTCGCCCTGTCGATGGTCCTCGCCGAAATCCCATACAGCATTATCTGTGCTGTTGGCTTCTTCCTGCCACTCTACTACATCCCTGGGTTCAGCTCACAGTCCAGCAGAGCAGGATACAACTTCCTCATGATCCTCGTCACCGAATTCTTCTCGGTCACTCTTGGTCAGATGGTTTCTGCTCTAACGCCCAGCACATTCATTGCTGTGCTGCTCAACCCGTTCCTCATTATCATCTTCGCCCTGTTCTGCGGTGTCACTGTGCCCAAACCTCAAATTCCAGGATTTTGGCGAGCATGGCTGTACGAGCTCGATCCATTCACGCGACTCATTGCGGGTCTCGTGTCTACCGAGCTGCACCAGAAGCGAGTCGTCTGTACCGACGTGGAGCTGAATCGATTCACTGCACCTGAGGGCCAGACGTGTGGCGAGTACATGTCAAATTTCTTCAGCGCTGGAGGCCCTGGCTACATTGTCGACAACTCTACTTCTGATTGCGGCTACTGCGCATACAGTGTCGGCGACCAATTCTATGAGCCACTTGGCATCTCATTCGACAACCGCTGGCGAGATTTGGGCATCTTGTGTGCTTTCATTGGCAGCAACTTGATCTTGCTGTTCATTGGCAGCAGGTACTTGAATTTCAACAGGCGATAGAAGGATTCTGCGTAGTTACAAGTTGGTCAAGAAGCGCGGCGTTGGACAAAAAGGTTTTTTTGCATTGCATAATAGGATAATAGACGGGCGCGGGTGCATTTCCAGAACCGTTGTCTTGAGTAGAGGTATCAGCCGGACATGCAAGAATGTCACGAAGATAGGAGAATCCGAAATGTTACGATTGTGTGTGTGTGGAACTTGGTCTGAGCTTGGTTTCTTACAAGTGGTTGGTGGTGCCCTCTACTGGATCTGAACCGGTTGCGGGATCGATCCAAAAAAAAAAAAAAAAAAAAAAAAAAA